AGTCTTTGGAAGGACATCCTGGCTCTCTTCTTCTGTCCCCATTAAGGGCAGTGGTTGCTGCTCCAGCCGGGTCTCCTGTTGACTGTGTGTGTATGTATCTCTCTCTCTCTCTCTCTCTCTCTCCTTCCCCCCCCCCTCCGCCCCATGACACTCTTCCTACCACCCTCCTGTCCTCTGACTTCCACTAGGTGTGTTCTTTATCTCCCAGAGTCCTCCAGGCAGACTCACAAGGTGACCTGTTGGCTTGCTTGGCTGACAGCCTTCACTGGAGGGTGTGACTTGACGCGCTTAGGTCTTGCCGAACGAGTTATGTGACTCTTGTCACTCAGGCTGATGCACTAAACTGTCCAGTCATGGAGTTAATAACTAGCTCATCTTGCCACACGAGCCAGTTGTGAACATTGAAACTGCAACTTAAGTGCTGCAGGCCGATTTGAGGGTTATGGCTCCTGCTTTCGGAAACGGAGAGCTGCTTTCTCTGCATGTCTAACTACAGACCTGGTCAGCTGCCCTCAACGTATCTGGCAACGTGGGGGATGTGATGTTGATTAGCTGCTTCTCCAGTGATCTTTCTACCCCCCTCTCTCTCTCTCTCAGGCCTACGGACAATTGGAGTGATCACCAAACTAGACCTGATGGATGAGGGCACCGATGCCAGAGACATCCTGGAGAACAAACTGCTTCCTTTAAGAAGAGGTAGAATGCCACCATCCTTATGCAATCAGCATTCTGCTGAGATCCCCACGCCCTCCTCTCTTTCACGATCTATAGAAGACAGGGAAGTCCCAGAGCTCTTCTGCATTGCAGCAGCTGTGATGGTACCTGCCAGCAGGGGGCGTGCTCTGCAGGAAACCCTGGTTACCTGCTTGGAGAGATTCCCCTTTGTGCAAGCTGTATAAAGTTCCACTTTGTAACTGTATCAATAACCCCAGGGTCCCTTGCAGGGAGCACAGGTGTTCAAGGCCAGTGCGCCAGCTGTGTCCCGCTCTAGAAAGAGCTAGCATGTGGAATTGTCCCGTTGCAGGCTACATCGGCGTCGTTAACCGGAGCCAGAAGGATATAGAAGGCAAGAAGGACATCAGAGCAGCGCTGGCCGCAGAGCGGAAGTTCTTCCTTTCTCACCCAGCCTACAGGCACATGGCAGATCGAATGGGCACACCTCACTTACAGAAAGTCCTCAACCAGGTAGGCCATCCTGAGGTTAATGTCGGTGAGTAGGCCCTACTAACTCGCTTAGGTAGAGGGTCAGTTAACTAACAGCTCTGAGTTGTAGTGGGGAGCGCATTGTCAAGTGATTAGAACAGAGGATAAGAAGTTAGATTGGATCTGTGGCCAACCCACATAAAACATCATGTGTGATCTTGGGTAAGTCTGCTCTTGGGCCAGCCTGGGTTTTCCCCATCTGCAGAATGACTAATGACAGTCCCACTTGTCTGAACACCTGTGCATTCTAGTGTGAATTCTAAGCAATGCTGAAGATGCTTGTAGCCAACAGAATGGAGGGGAAATCTCTTCTACTTGGCTTACGTGGTGCAATTGGCCACCACCGTGCGGTCAGTTTCGTTATTTTCCCCATATAGTCAGCTCCCCTTGTTCGTGTGGGTCTTTCACAAAGCAAGAGAAGGCAAAATGCATTAAAACTGGAAAATCTGACTTGTAAAGCTGCAGAATGGGGTTGGTTCGAGGCCTGAGACTGCTCTTAAAATCTTTGAAACTGACTATTGTCTCTTTAAATGAACAGTAGCAGACCTGGACTAGAACTTATTTCTGATCTTAATAGAGTGGCCAGTTCAGTGAAAGCATTCAAACCTGATCCCTAGACAAGCATTTCCTCAAGTCTCCTATTGTGCAGTGTTGGCTCTGGCTTGCCTGTCCACTCTTGACATAGCTTGTAGTGAGGGGCAGCTCACGCAGGTAGGGGGACCAGCAGCGCTGACCACTTCTCCCATCCTCTCGTAGCAACTGACCAACCACATCCGTGATACCCTGCCCTCACTGCGCAGCAAGCTGCAGAGCCAGCTGCTCTCCCTGGAGAAGGAAGTGGAGGAATACAAGAACTTCCGCCCCGACGACCCCACACGGAAAACCAAAGCCTTGCTACAGTACGTTGCTCCAGTCCCCTCTTCCATAGACAGGCGCTGGATTTCGGCCAACCTCGCTAAGGAGAGCGGGAGAGAGTCTAGCCTGAAATTGACACTTACTGGTTTTAACATAGGTCCATATTTAACTTGCTCTTTGCTTGAAGCGCATGAATCCCAGCTGGTTGCTGATCCCAAGGAAATACACAGTGCCTAGCACCTGGCATTAGAAATTGGCATTGTGGGGGCAGGATGTGCCAGCTTTCACGGGTGATGCCATTCAGAGTTGGCATGGACACAAGAGACTAAATACCCTGCAACGCTAGTCTGATGGGAACATTGGGAGGGATCGTTAAATCTGTCAAGCTCTGCAGACAAATAACTGGCATTGGCTTGTATTTGTTGTGCCTACAAGGATCTCCTGTATAATCCATTTGGTTAAAGCCTTGTATAAAAGCAGAGAACAAGCATGTACATTCTTAAGCTCTAAAAGAAGGTGAATGACCATTGTTTTGGTTTCCCTAATTGTAGCGAAAGGGAGATGAAATTCTTTCCCCATAGGATTCATGGAAGTAGAAGGTATCAGAGGGGTAGCCGTGTTAGTCTGAATCTGTAAAAAGCAACAGAGGGTCCTGTGGCACCTTTAAGACTAACAGAAGTATTGGAGCATAAGCTT